TTTTGTTTTTCCTTCAGAAAGCCAGTCCCCAGGCCTCTTTTTTAAAGGGTAGATGTGGGGAGCCAGCCAGATCCTTACTGATTTCTTTAATTTTAACGTGGAAGGGGATATTGAGTTCTTAATGAAGGCTTTTGAAACCCGTTGTAAATCTGAAGGGGTGATAAACTGTAAGTCGTCTTGGGGAGAACAGATTGCTTTTTGGGTTGCCTTTTTGTCTGATACATTTGTTTTGAGCCTGCTGACCAGCTGTTTCTGAACTTCATTTTCTCAGCCTCAACAGTGATTTGAGCCCGCTTTTAGCTCCCCTCCGCCTGCCTTGGCTTGTTTCTGTGCAAGAACAGCTCCTCTTCCCCTAGATTAGAGAAAGGGGTCTCCTCCCCTTTCCCAAGAAAGCCTCTTCTATGTGCTCAGCGATGGGGAGCGGGGAACCTAATATTGCTGGCAAGAAAAAGAAGTACCTCAAGGCTGCCCTGTATGTGGGTGACTTGGGCCCTGAAGTGACAGAGGACATGCTTTATAAGAAGTTCAGACCTGCTGGCCCTCTCCGCTTCACTAGAATTTGCCGTGACCCAGTGACCCACAGCCCCCTGGGTTATGGTTATGTTAACTTCCGCTTTCCTGCAGATGCTGAGTGGGCCTTGAACACAATGAACTTTGATTTAATTAATGGTAAACCGTTTCGCCTCATGTGGTCACAGCCAGATGACCGCTTAAGAAAGTCTGGAGTTGGAAATATATTCATCAAGCACTTGGATAAATCCATAGATAATAGGACCCTGTTTTATTTATTTTCTGCTTTTGGGAACATTCTTTCCTGTAAAGTAGTATGTGATGACAATGGCTCTAAGGGTTATGCCTATGTCCACTTTGATAGCCTTGCTGCTGCCAATAGGGCTATCTGGCATATGAATGGAGTCTGGCTCAACAACCGCCAGGTGTATGTGGGGCGATTCAAATTTCCTGAAGAGAGAGCAGCTGAAGTCAGAACCAGGGATAGAGCCACGTTTACCAATGTTTTTGTGAAAAACCTTGGAGATAACATGGATGACGAAAAACTGAAGGAACTTTTCAGTGAATACGGGCCAACTGAGAGTGTTAAAGTAATAAGAGACGCCAGTGGGAAATCGAAAGGCTTTGGATTTGTCAGATATGAGACACACGAAGCTGCCCAAAAATCTGTGCTGGACCTGCATGGCAAGACAATAGATGGGAAAGTCCTGTATGTAGGGAGAGCACAGAAGAAAATTGAACGCTTGGCTGAATTAAGGCGGAGATTTGAAAGACTGAAACTAAAAGAAAAAAGTAGGCCCCCAGGAGTGCCTATCTATATTAAGAACCTGGATGAGACCATTGATGATGAAAAACTGAAGGAGGAATTTTCTTCATTTGGATCAATTAGTCGAGCCAAAGTAATGATGGAAATGGGACAAGGCAAAGGGTTTGCTGTCGTCTGCTTTTCTTCTTTTGAAGAGGCTACCAAAGCAGTGGATGAGATGAATGGTCCAGTTCTAGGCTCTAAGCCACTGAGTGTCACGCTGGGGCAAGCCAGGCACAGGTGGTGAGAATCACAATGATCAGTTTGTTTAGCCTTAGCTGGTGCCTACTTAGCTTGGGCTCCTTTGTGATAGACGGACTTGTTTTTGCTGTTATTTTCTTTTCTTTTTGTGTGTGAAAAATTATTTTAGAAAGTGTACATTCAAAGCCTTGTTCATTTTAGTGAAGAACATAATTTTTTAAATGTAAAATTGTCATTTTGTATGATTTTTTACATACTCTCTATCCTTAAGAATTTGTGGAATAAAGTTTATTCCTCTTTTTTTCTGAATAGCCTAATTGAGGCAATTGATTATATTTCTATCTTTATTTCCATAATACTAATTTAATTTATTCCATGAAAATATTCTTAGCATGGTCCTTATTTCTGATTCTGACACAGTGAAAAGTCACCACTTGTTTTTTAGAGAAATAATCAAAGAAGGGAGAAATGTATATGAGCCACTTAAAATTGCTGCATAATTTCATATTAAATTAGGATTTAAAGGATTATTTTTAAGAATATGTGAGCATTCTTTCTTGTATTTGTTTGTATTGGTTTTCTTTTATAAATATATTGGGAGGATACCACATATTAGTAGCTTTGACTAAGTATTGGAAGTTGTTTTTTTTAATGTCTTGCTTTTGTTTTACAATCAGTGCTTTTGGAAAACTGTTGCATTGATAAATGGCTACTCAAAATGTGATGGTGTCTTAAAAATCTTTTCCAAGTGATTTAATATTTGAAAATATTCTAAAAGCCATCCTTAATAGTTCTTTTTCTAAATGCATATAATGGTTGTATACATGTAGACTATGTTAAAGTAGCAAGAAAAATTGACAATTCACTAACTCATCTTTACTTTGAAAAATTTTATACACTGCTGCTGGAAAAACTAAGGACCTTGTGCTTCTTCTAAACCTTGAATATATCCATGTGCAAACAATGACCATGTTTCATTAGGGGATAGGTTTCCTCTTGATTAGGTCACATGCGAATTTTTAACTCCAAATAATTGTCCTTTGATGCATCAGAACATTTAAAACAGAATGTTTGGTTTCCAAACATTAAGGACAAAATATTGTTCTGCAGCTTCTTCTTGTGCCATGCAATTTGTAAACTACAAATTCTCTACATTTCACTTGCAGTAACCTCTTCTCATCACTTTAAGCTTTCAATCCATGTATCACTTAAAATCAGCATAACTATTTTGAAAATTAGAAAAAATAATCAAATTGCATTGAACTTCAATAACTTTCTTAGAATATATGATTCACTCATATGATAGATTCAATCACAAGAACATATTTGGTGTCCCTTGTCAGTTTATTGTTTTTAATTGCTTTACAGATAAATCTTTTTAAGAGTAATGTAATTATACAATTTTAGAAATTCTGCTAGCTATTTGACCATATAAAATGAAAGTAGGATATTTCTATGTAATTACATCCAATTATGTGTATACACATAGTATAGTATTTTCAAAATGAAAATCACTGATTTGTTGATTATAAAAATATAATCATAAATAATTCTGTAAACATTATATAAAGAAATCATTCTCAATTTTATATGTGCATATATATCCCTTTATATCTTTTTTTAGTGAGAACACATTTTTTGGAAAAATATATTATGCAATGGTCCATAATTTGTTTTACATTGAACCATATTCATGCTTTCATACCAATAAATATTGATATTGATATATATCACAGTTTTAGAGACTTTGTAATTTTCCTTAATATGGATGTAGAATAAGACTTTTGATTCAATAATTCTTAAAATTTGTAAACTATACTGAGCTGAACAACTTTTTCTGTAAACATTGTACAAAATGAGTTTGACAGAAACTTCTATAAATTATAAGACTTAAATCAGCCAGAGAATTAAAACACTCAATACTTAGATATGTTCCCAAATTTTTGAACATTTTCAACATGTAATATATAACTAAATTTATATGAAAGAATCAGAGGAAGATAATTTTATGCTTGATGAACCTACTTTATATTATTGCAGCTATCAAAATAATAAAATTTTAAATAGATACAATGACAATTATACATCATATATTTATTCATTTTAAGCACTATCTTTTCTTAAGGAATTATTTATTTTTATTTTGTATCATTGGTGTTTTCCCAAGTGTTTGTCTGTTTGAAATTTCAAGATCTGGAAATGAAGTTACAGATAGTTGTGAGCTGCAATGTAAGTGATGAGAATTGAACCCTGGGCCTCTGGAAGAGCAGCCAGTATTCCTACCCACTAAGCCACATCTCCAGCCACAAATATCCTTCTAAAATCATAGTTATAAATACAAAACATCACTTTTAGCATGATTCTGAGAAAAATTTAGATAAAAATATCTAGGACAACTTCTAGAATATAAAAATAATCGAATTTAATACATGAATTTGAAACTTCATATTTAAAGTGTTATTATATTCTAAAGAACAGCCTTTATAAATTGCAGGCAAAAATAAGGATTCTTAGGAACAGGTAAAATAGTTATACTGAAGATATAGTTAACCATTTGAAAAAATTAAAAATTCAAGAGCAGGAAACCACAAGGAAAATATATACTAAAGGTAATCTCTATATGAATAGAAATACCCGAGTAGTTTTTCAATCTTGTGCTTAAGTTTTATCTACTTTTAATAGACTGCCAAAGAGCAACAGTATTGCCAAGGGTTTTATAAAGCATATCGCAGCATTTCTGAGGAAACTATAATTAGTAAAAATAGAGCTAGTATTTGGCTAATAATCAAATATTTAATAAAAGTTTTGTTTTGATTACGATTTCAAAGCAGTCACTTAGACAAAATTTTAAAATGACCAATGAGAAGAAAACTAATAATATTCCTTTATGATTATATGCCATCATAATAAAAATTTGGGGGATGGAGGTAAACTTTTGTAGAGGAGATTTTAAACGTATTCTTGTTTATTTATTGCTAGTGACTAAGGAAAAAGAAAAATGCTATACATATAAGTGAAATTTTTAGCTTGGGCTTGTGGAAGCAATAACAATTATATTTTAAATTAGGAAGTTGAAAATGGATTGAATACCATCTTCCTTGCACATAAATTGCTTAATCTAAGATAATGATTAGAAACATGTCAATAAATGACTGAACATAGATAATTGAAGTGTGCTTAACACCTGTAATATTACCTGAAATACAGTATTCAACAAACTGTTAATGAATTCATTAATAACATGAGTGATACCCTTCCATTTCATTACTTTTCAACTCTCCTATCAACATTTAATGAGCTAAATGAGATATTAAGTAGCATATGAAAATGTAATTATAGAAAAGTACATTTTTATACTTGGTATTGAAATATTTTCCTATTAGTATTATGATTTCTGTCACTTTACCATACCTTATTTTCTTGATTATTCACTATTAGATTGATAATTATGCCATGAATGCTAAGCCTGTGATGACTAACATAACTTAAAAATTATTTGTAGAGCAGTCCTTTTTCTGTTAATGATATCCTGTATGAAGACCAGTCAAACTCCACTATGTATTACTTCTGTGCTGAAATATATAATTACATTAATTCCTGAGAAAGTAGTAATTGCTTATCAGAAATTATTTAACCCTTATACAGTCGCAGTAATTTTTTTACTACTCTTGACACGTCTCCTAAAAAATGATTATTTACACACTCGGGAGAGTTACTGTTTCCCACATCGCTTCAGTAGATCCTTGACATTAATTGAAAATACTCTAGCTATAAAAGTAAATCTGAAAGTAAAAGACTTGCTGCAATCCCCATATTAAAACTTAAAATTCTTGCTATTCAAAGATTTATTTATTTTATGTGTGTGAATGTTTCGTCAACATGTGTGTATGTGTACCACATGTGTGCCTAGTGCTTGTAGGGGTCAGAAAAGCCATTGGATCCCTTGGGACTGAAGTTACAGATGGTTATGAACCACTTGGTGGGTCCTGTGAACAGAACGCAGGTCTTCCACAAGAGCAGCAAGTGGTTTTATGCACGGAGCTATCTCTATAGCCTTCAGTCAAATTTCTTGGATTTTTTTTCTTTAAGAAAGTGTTTCATATCCCTGACAGATATAGAAATCTTTATGTTGACCAGGGAGGCCTTGAATTCACAGAGATCCACCTACCTCTGTCTCTAGAGTGTTAGAATTAAAGCTGTTCACCACATGCCTGGCCTTCTAATTATTATAATGTAAAAAACATAACTCCAAGTACTTTGATCCTCAAAAATCAGAGTCAAATTTTTAAGTATGTCTTATTCAAAAGGGAAAAGGTCTTCATTAAATTTTTAATATGAAATTTGGGACCTTTAAAAATGTATTTAGTTCTTTATGGCTGTCTAGTAAATCAGAGTGGATGCTGATATTATATGGCATGGTTTTCTCAGTCATCAGACTAACTTCTTTATTTAGAACTAATCACAAAAAAATATAACATAAAATAAGAACATTTTCACATTTAGGGATTCACTTTGAGTTTCCTAAAGGGGCATATTTTGCTTTTGAAAAATAAATGACTTACCAAATCAATATCTGATACTATCTAAAAATAAATTTATGCTAGTATGTATAGAATGGCAAGAGTCATTTTTAAAAGTCACCTATCTTTGAGAACTTTGCACATTCTAAATCCTTGAATAAAACAGAGGAGTTTACACACCTTTCTTTTTTCTGTTTCATAAAACCACAAATATTTAAATTAACAGATATATTATACACTATATTTTAAGATTATTTAAATGATAAAACACTTTATTGTCGTTGTAAGATTAAGGTTGGGTTAAAATCATTGTTGTTAGTATAGTCTAAATATTTAAAGAAGTCAAGGTAATTTGTTTCCAAACAAGAAAGTAAAGAAAAATCAAGAATGCATTTCTTTATTCTGTATAGAGAAAAAAAACATGAGAGATTTGTTCATTGAGAATAACTAAAGTATATAAATAGTCAGCTAAATGTTATAAATATAAATGGATATTGTAAAAACAATAAAATTCTGCCTATTTTAA